GGGCTGGGGGGGTCAGGGCGAGGGGGGGGCACTGGCCCAGTTCTTGGGCAGGCTGGGCTGGGGGAGGGGTCAGGGCGAGGGGGGGGCGCGCACTGGCCCAGTTCTCAGGCAGGCTGGACTGGGGGAGGGGTCAGGGCGAGGGTGGGGGTGCTGGCCCAGTTCTCAGGCAGGCTGGGCTGGGGGGGGGGGGTCAGGGTGAGGCTGGGGGGGACTGTGCTGTCCATCTGTCTGACCAGCTGTTTGGTGCCATCTGTCCCACCAGTGACTCGGGCACGTTTCTGGGGCTGGGCACTGTGACGGGCTCGGTTGCCATTCACGTCTCCTTCTCACTGCAGGTAACTGGCTGCCGGGCGCCTGGAGGGGGGGGGGCTCCCGTGGCGGGGGGTGGGGGAACTCTCCAGTGCCCCTGTGGGAGCGGGGCGTTGGCCTAGCTCTGGACACCCCCCCACCTCAGGCTGTGCAGGGCTGAAGCAGCTGCTGCCCCACCCCAGAGGCAGCTGCATCCTGGGCAGGGCCCAGTACCCGGCTTGGCCCGTGGTGATGCCCGTGACCCTGCCCTCCCCGCAGAGGCTGTACTACGTGAAGGAGGCGCATGGCATCGTGGTGACGGACGTGGCCTTCCTGCCTGAGAGCCGGCGGGGCCGGGAGCTGCTGGCCGAGAACGAGGCCGCCCTGCTCAGCGTGGCCGTGGACAGCCGCTGCAAGCTTCATCTGCTGCCCCCCAGGCGTACGTGCCCCGGGCCCCTGGGGGGAGGGGGGCCTGTGGGACAGACCCCGTGGGGGTCCTGCCCCCTGCCCTGGCCCAGGCTTCTTCCCTGCTCCGGCTAGATCCTAGCGGGGCCCCCTGACGTCACGCCCCCTCCCCTCTCACTACTCCCTCCCCCCCAGGTGGCTGGTTCCCCCTGAGCCGGGTCCTTCTCTCCCACAGGCAGCTTCCCCGTGTGGCTTCTGCTGCTGCTCTGCGCTGGCCTGGTGGTGGCCACCATCCTGCTGCTGCAGCTGGCCTTCCCCGGCTTCCTGTAGGCGTGAGGAGCCCCTGGGACAGCGAGAGACTCTGCCCCTGCCTGGGGCACGTCGGGACCCTCGCCTGCCTGGTCCGGCCCGGCTCTCCCCCCGGGACAATGTGAAGCAGCTCAGAGACCGGCAGCCCCCCTGGCCCCACGCCCTGCCCGCCCGTGGTGGGGACGTGTGTTCCGGGCGGATTCCTGCATGGGACGGGCGGTGCCGGAGCTCTCGGGAAGGTGAGATGTTCTGGCTGGGCCGTGGCAGGGGGCTGAGAGCCCAGCCTGTGCCAGTCGGACCCACGACGCCCATCCAGCGATGTGCCAGCAGCCTCAACCCGTGCTCCTGCTGCGGGTCGTTGGCTGCCATTAAACTGGAGTCTGACCTGTCGCTCCCCTGCCTGTGCATGCCTGGGGGGGGGAGGGGG